CATACTTGTGCCCCTGTATGATTCTCATTTTCTTTCCTTTTCATAAATTTATTATTCCTTGTCGAACCTATTCCACCTGCTACCCATAACTTTCTTTCTTTCTTTTCCCGTCATGTATACCGTATACATTATTTTCATGTACTACTCACTCCCACTTTCCCGCTTCTTTTTGATTTCCATAAGTTATAGTATTTTATATCAATTTCAAGGGCATGTGCAAAAGTGTGTATTCCCCACTCCCTTACCCCATAAACGACGCTCAAAAGTTAGGGAAACACAGAGAGATACACATACCAGCAGTCTTATATGAAGAAATTAAATAATAAAGGAGAATCACACACAACAACTAATCCAATGTGTGAGACTCATATGAGAACACTTATTAGGTCTCGTTTAAAAGGGCGCAGACCATTCCTTTACCAATAGAGTCTTTTTAATTACAACAACAAAAAACGAAAGGCTGTTCAACAAAACCCACCTATTTAAAAAAAAAAAAAAATGTTTCTTAGTTTTCCACTTACATTCCACCTGTAGAAATAATCTGAAAACAAAAACAAATGGTGCTTTACAGAGAAAATGAAACCCAATGAATCAAAAAACAGAAAACACAGTCAAATTCTTCACATAACTGGTTCCTTTGATTCTTTCACGTTCACAGAGTCTGTCGAATTATCAGAATACTGCTCAATAACCTTTCCTCCGTACGCCTTCGAGACACATCCAAAGAGATCAATCCACTCCATAAACAGATGCGAAAGTACCTTCACGGCGTCTTGAACAAGCCACCAAATAATACAGTAGATCCATACCCATAGTGGTAGAAGTTTTTCATTATTTGAATCACCCCAAGCAAGACCCTCTGTCAGCACATGATCAGGACGAGATTCAACCCAAAAGGAAGCCACAAATGAGGAGACGAGGAGAGAGATAAAAGCACCAATGAACAATATAAGGCCTGGAGCCATTTTGAAGAACCAGTCACCTCCAGTACGCGAAGAGAACAGTGTCAGGAAATCGGAAATCGAAATCTTCAGATACAGCAATGTCACAACCTTACCCTGCGGCAGCTTCGCGAGACCAAGACCATGGAACCAAGAGTTAGGGTATGTCTCTTCACTATAAGCTTCAAGTGCCATCCATAATAACAGAAGGGAAGAACCACAGGCAACAGCTGCAAGAATAATAGCGCTTGTGAATACCACAGGGAGATTCCACCGTTGAGGAAGCCTAGATGCCACCACTCGATCGTAACCAATCGTCATAAGACAACCATCATTCAAAAGTGTGATGAGCATAAACATTAGCACAGGTAAATGGAAGAACTGGAAATGAGGATCCACACTGCCATAGTCGAGAGGCGTCAATGAGAAGCAAGCAATGAAGAAGAAACACACCAGTTGTAGTGTTGCAGATATACGGTATGTCAAGAAGGACAGCATACGCTGAAACACTTGACGGGAAACAAGCATGGCCTCAACAACAACACTCAGACCAGGTCCAGTCAATACCATGTCAGCAGCAGCACGCGCAGCATCCGTAGAACCCTGCACAGCAATACCAACGTCTGCCCGTTTCAGTGCAGGCGCGTCATTTACACCGTCGCCTGTCATGGCACAGGTGTAACCACGTTGGCGAAGAGTTTCAACAATCATAAACTTGTGTTCAGGGAAGACTTGCGCGAAACCACCAACACCGAGCATCATATCACCGTACTTCTCACCAAGATCGTCAGGCAGATCATTCACATCAACCTTGGGAAGCTTGTCAGCTGTCAAGATATTTGGGTCAAGGTTCAGCATGCGGCACATTTCTTTTGCAATCAACACGTGGTCACCCGTGATCATCTTAACGTCCACACCATATTCCTTGCTGCGACGAATCGTGTCCTTCGTATCAGGGCGTGGGGGATCCAAAAAGGTCAAGATACCGCACAGGTGCCAGCGACCCTGTGAATCCGTCTTTGCCACAGAAAGACATCGAATACCACGCGAGGCAAGGCTGTCAATAATGTCGACCACCTTGTCATTGATCTCATCCTGGTTATACACAAGTTGAATGATCACATGCGGTGCACCCTTCGTGACGCTGAACTTCTCACCAGTTCGATTATCGATCAGAGTAGCCGCTGTGCGCTTGGTCGTCGGATCGAAGGGAACAAACTCGGTCTGCGTGTAGTTATCGCACTCGTCAAGGTCTGCAGCTCCAAGTACCATGGTATCCAAGGCATCACGTGGCGGTTCACGCCACTTTGCGGCAAGTGCTGCCAATACGAGTATAGAACGTAGGTCGTAGCCCTCTTCAAACGTGAAACACTGATCTTGAATCTCCATCTTGTTGAGTGTCAGAGTTCCTGTCTTGTCTGAGCACAACATATTTACGCCAGACATCATCTCGATAGCTGTCAGCTTTGTTACGATGATCTTGTGCTTCGACAGCTTCTTCGAGCCAACAGCAAGAGTCGTGGTAACGACAATTTCCAGCGCAATGGGAATGGACACAACAAGGACAACGACAGAAAACTGAAGTGCATTACGGAAGCTCTCCTTGAACTTTGCCATAAGATAGATGAAGCAAATAAGACACAATACAAACGAAAGACTCGTCAACACCACCATCACGCGCGAAAGAATGACGTGAATATTGCCAAGGTCAGCCTCCACTGATTGCAGAAGTACGGCAGTCTTACCGAAGAAAGTGCTCTGACCTGTAAATTGTACTGTGCCGTCCACTTCACCACGCACAACATTTGAGCCCATCTTCGGCATGTGGTCTGGTCCCATCGTCACGGGCAGTGACTCACCGGTCAGTGCTGCCTCATCAACATCAATCACACCCTCATTGATGCTGCAATCAGCAGGAACTGCAGAACCGGACGCAAGCTTTACAAGATCACCAGGAACCAGAAGCGCAGCATCGATTTGCTGCCATGAACCATCACGGAAGGCGGTTGCCACAGGTTTCAGAGAATTCTTCAGTGCCGCTACGGCGTCACCAGCCTTAATCGTTTCATACCATCCAATGGTGGCATTGGCGATCTGAATGACAAGTAGAATAGCGGCATCAGGCCAGTTTTCCAATGCGAATTCAATGATAATGGCGACCCACAGTGCAAAAGGCATAGGTCCCCACAAGTTTCGCACAAATATAAGCCAACTGGGAGTCTTTTTTTCTGGCAGTTCATTGCGTCCGTATTTTTGCAAGAGCTCCTCTGCTTCAGCAGTTGTTAAGCCCTTTGATGGGGGTAACAGTTCTGCTGTTTCTTCCTCCGCATCTTCTCTGTGCTCGCTGATGGCCTTGGACAGTACAGACTGACGTTTTTGTGGCTTTTGCGGTGGATGTTCTTCACCATGGTCATTTTCGTTGTGTTCGAAGACCGCTTGGTCTTCCTTTTTACTCATTATTCTGCTTTCTCTTAGTTGGACTACCTACAGGTTTACTTATCGAAAGAAAGTAAATAAAGTTATATGATTTAGGGGATGTGGAAAAGAAATGGGGGTTTTCAGAAAATAATAACTTTTTTTTCTTATTTTTAGTGAACTAAGAAATCTCTATTTAATAAAATAATATTATTTGTTTGTTTTATGTGAAAAAATTTAAGTTATTGAATATTGGTATATTACTAATGATTTTTTTTTTGTTTGTTTGTTTGTTTATCATTCTACTTGGGTCCGGAGCGAAAGAAGGAACGTCTTGCCACCCAGACGCTATCACCCTCTTCTTTTATATTCAATGATTGTCGATGTCGACTGAGAAAATAATTTACACTTTCTTGCATATCCTGTGTGCACTCTTGTTTCCTGCTATTTTTTTCCAAGGAAGTAGGTAAACATCGTCTTGATACTTCCAACCCGTGATTTAGTAGGTGTCGAATACCAGTTTTAGAGGATTTTGGTGCATTATTGATTTTCCAGGAAGATATGCTGTAGCCGTGAATAATATCCTCTAGTTTTACATATTCTGTAGAAAGAGAGTATTGCAAATATGTAATAGCGGGATGAGTAATGTCATCCAAGTCAGAAACAGAGCAATACTTTCGTACTTTTTTCCCACTCTCATCGACCCAGCAGAAGCGTCCAAATTTTCGAAGCCAAAACTCCACACCACCGTAGGGTTGAGCGGCTTTCATGATGTTGTCACGTTCAGATAGTGTGAGTTTTTGGAGAAGTCGGTCAAGTGGAAACCAAATGGGTTTAAGGTACCGTGCAATTGTGGATGCTATAGTAGAATACTCTACCCCAAGTTCCCCTGTAGCACCAGGAGACAACCAATAGGGACGTAATCGCCATAACACCTCTTCTTCTTCTTCCTCTTTTTCACCCTCTTTACCTGAACGAGTCAAGAAGTAGTGGTTATGAGAAACGTCTTCAGTAAAGGATTGAACTCTTTCGATAGGTAGATTAGCTTCATGGGCCCATTCCGAAATAGAAATATATCGATCATGTGGTATAGTCTCGAGAAGTGCAAACCATTCGGGTGATGGGGAATCTACCGTAAGAGCATTTCCTTGGGCAACTTTAAAAGTTGATTCTTTCTTAACAACTGCGGAAGCTTGTACTCCTGTACGAAGAGGGGCCTGAAGAACAGGGAATGCACGGGTTACATCTGTTACCTGAAGTTTGCGATGAATACCATCAGATGACACAGAAATATCCTTCATATTTTGGTACAGAACATTAGCTATCCCTATACGCAAATGTTGTATAGAAGGCTTTAATCTCACGGTGTCTACAGTCTTGTCTCTATCAAAATAGTACGAATATATTCTAATAACTTTGTGAAGTGTGTTTTGCGGTCCTAGTATCCTCGCAAGAGCATCTGTCAGTTTAATCTTTTGAACAGGAACGTAAAAAGTTGGAATACATTCGACAAAAAGATCAAGCATTTCACTAGGGGAACGTCGACCACGCAACTGTGCTACTACAGTATGGGCTTTAAGGAGTTCATCAGGTGACATTCGTCCTGAAACTTTTTCAACTTCTTTCTTTTTCTGCTGTAGGGGTGGTGGTGTTTTCCGTTTTTGCAATCCTTCAGGGGGTTTGGGAAGAGCAGGAGGAATTTGTCGAAATACTTGAGGTGATCCAGCAGGAACCGTTGCGGTTGCACAACTCCCATCGTGAAAAAACCCTTCATCAGGTTCAGCAGCCCCATTAATATCATTTTCCTCATAGGAAGCAATAACTTCATTCTTAGTATCCTCATCCAAGTCAAGTTCAACATCCCATACATCCTTAGCATAGTCCTCGTCAGCTTGAAGAGGTAATGAAACGGAGTCAGTAATGAAACTTGACTGCTGATGGTACGTCGGTAACTTTCTTGAAGAAAGAAGTCCCTTAACCGAAACCATGCTAGTATCTAAACTAAGGTCAACATAATCTTGCGCAACATTACTTTTAAGAAGACGCAGTAAACCTCCTCCTAAATTTCGTATAATATCCTGAAGCTCCTTTGGTAGAGTATTCAAGAGTCCAGTAGTCGCAATGGGTTCATCATTTGGAAGCACCTTCTGGAGTTCTTCAAGTACTCTGCGTGTCGTCACACAGCTAAACTCCGGAATGACATTATGTAGCTTTACTTTCTTTTCTCTTAATAATATTCCACGATCGTGTTCATCATCTCGATGAAAATGATTTCTTTCTTCATATTGAGAAGATAATGAGTCCGTTGTTACCACTTGTGCACGGCTAATATACCAACGAAGACTCCCATCAGATTCTTCAATTTGGTAGCATCGAAATCGATGAGGAAAGAGTTGTACAAATCCTAATACAGATCCATAAAGTTCACTCACTGACTCAAGATCCAAAGCAGGCGTTATCGTGGTAAGTCTAAGTCCAACGCCATCCGCAGGTAGAAGTTCTAAGATCTCATTTACAAGCTTCATTGTTGAAGAACGCCCAGTAGATTGTTGCTCATCGTTAATCTTATTCTCGTGTAGATTCTCACTTTGAGATTCTTCCTCTATGGTCCCAGAGGAAGCAGAATTAAGAAGTAATTCTTCATAATCCTCAAGACTTGCCTCTTCATCATCCTCATTCGCCACTATATTGGATACCTTCTCATCTGCATTTGTGTGCATCCATCGGTAAGAGGATATCTGTATTAATGATTTAGAGAATTCATTCACATATAATGTGGGGCAAAGAGATAAACGCAGTACCCTTGCCCAGGGAAACCAAAATCTGGAGCTCATGGGAAGTCTCTTCCCTCTTATTCCACTGCATGCGCCACGTGCTTGACACAACATGCCAGTTAAAAAAAAATATATATATATGAGAGTGCAATCGCCGTGACGTCAACAGTCTAGAGAGTGAAAGACGTAAACATAAAAAAAAACTACCAAACAACGGCGAAATATCTCTATACTGCCATTTTGACAAAGGGAAAAAAAAAAAAAAAATGAATATGCCATCAGCTTAAGACAAAATAAAAACCCAAAGAGGGGACTCCACTCTCCCTACTCATCACCACCTCTTACTGTTTTTCATTTTGAATTACCTTTCCATGTCACAGAAATCACCAAAGAACAGCAATCACATTCACAAAGTTTTTCAATTTCCTGCATCTCAGATTCTTGTTGTGTGAGAAAGAGCTCAAAAGAACCCCCACAGCGACACTCTAAAGCATACACACGAATTATGACCACATTGTTTTCCTTTTCATCTGATCTACAAAGAATCCGTTCATCCTTAAGATCAAATTCGCTCAAATCGTAAGTATCACTTACTACACCAACGGAACGAACGTAAGATTGTTGTTGTCCGTGATCATACTGAGCACGTCGCAACGGATCCATCAGTATCTCTGATGCTTCCTTAATAACATGAAAAGGTTGAGGTTCCCGCAACAAAATCATATTATCCCCCAGCTGATTAACATTATGTATCTTATCCGGATGGGTGAGCAGCGCGAGTCGCTTGAATGCCGCACGAATTTCAGCTATAGACGCAGAAGATGGCACTTCAAGTATATCATAGGGAGAAAGGGGTGTCATTCACCTGTACAAAAAAAAAAAAAAAGTAAAAGAAAAAAAAATAATGGTATACATAAGAACACAAACACAGACACACATGAAGGATAGATCTTTCTACAATTGGCTACATACAAACGAAATCCGAGAGGAGAACCAAAAGATGAATAAGAGGAAAATAACATCACACACATACAGACTCACAACAACAACAACAAAAAAAAAGAATTCCTCATGGCAATAGGGCCCAAGAACTTCCCTCAAGGCAGCCCCCGTAACTAAAAGGGAGATAAAGAGAGAAAGGAAGCAGAATTGAAACTTTGAGTACAGTAGTGTATTGTCTGTCCGTTGGGGAAATCAAACTAATGAACTTTGTTGAGGATTTTGCAGAACATTGTGCAAACACACACCGCTACAGCAAACACTCAGATAGAAATAGCCCTATAACGTCATCTAACTATAAAACAAAAACCCAACAACCCACCACACCCTCACCACCCATCTTTTTTTTTTTTTCTTCATGGACAAAGAAGAAAAATACAGGAAAAAAATATCCCTCAATAAATAATAAAAATATGGACTACACAGACAATTATATATATATATAGGTCCCCTATTTAACTTCGCTAGGCGGTTACAGCAAACACTTTCTCCTCAGACGCATCGAGTTCATCAGCTAAAGAATTGTTCTCTTCAGCATCACCGAGGTATAATTTTCCTACTGGACACAGCTGTGATACCGGCATATTATTGTCTGTTTTTACCTCTAATTCATCCAAAAAAGTACTTATTTCGCTAAGACCCCCACGACCAATCATTCCTAAATTAAAATCCTGAGCATGCTCATTTAGAAATCGCACACATCTAGTACAGTGAATACAACGGTTAAGCACAACACGTGTCTGAGGATCAAAGTAAAAATCCTGAACAGCACGTTTATCCTCTCTGTATCGAGGTATATCTGTACCATAATTCATACTGATGTTCTGAAGATCACAATTTGTTGCTTGTTCGCAAATAGGACAATCATTTGGGTGATTAATAAGAATTAGTTCAACATTTCCTTCACGGGCATCACGTACCAAACGACTATCAGTGATAATTGACATACCAGGCAGTGCTACAGTAGAACAAGAAACCACAAGATTTTGTGTACCATCTACTTGAACAAGACACATCCGACAATTTCCCGCCACTGAAAGAATAGGATGATAACAAAACTTCGGTACGCGAATACCTTCCCGTTCAAGTACTTCCAGCAAATTTTCCTCCTGTGGAATAATCTCAACTGGCCGTTTATTTACAAACATAATGGCTCGAGGTTTGTGCTCTGCGTATTGTCCCGCGGCTACACCTTCCACTATGGCTTCTGTTGTACCCTTCCGCACGTATTCGTTTCCATGAAAAGAATGCGTCATTTCACTGTTGTACGGTGTGCCATCCGACTTGAAGGAACGTCGTGAAGTGGAGAGCAAAGTCTTACAACAAGTCAACGTAAAGACTCCTTGTAAACGTCTCATCTGTTGTTTCTCTTTTTTCTTTCTTTTTTTTTTTTTTT